TTCCATTTGCTTGGTAGATCATCCTCCATCCCTTTATTTTGAGCCTATGTGCGTTTTTACACATGAGATGGATTTCCTAAATACAGCACACCAATGGGTCTTGACTCTTTATCCAATTTGCCGGTCTGTGTCTTTTAATTTGGGTATTTAGTCCATTTACATTTAAGGTTAATACTGTTTTTTTTTTTAAATTTATTTATTATTATTATAAGGTTAATACTGTTATGTGTGAATTTGATCCTGTCATTATCATGTTAGCTGGTTATTTTGCCCGTTACTTGATGCAGTTTCTTCATAACATTAATGGTGGTTACCATTTGGCATGTTTTTGCAGTGGTTGGTACTGGCTGTTCCTTTCCATGTTTAGTGTTTCCTTCAGGAGCCCTTGTAAGGCAGGCCTGGTGGTGACAAAATCTCTCAGTATTTGCTTGTTTGTAAAGGATTTTATCTCTCCTTCACTTATGAAGCTTAGTTTGGCTGGATATGAGATTCTGGGTTGAAAATTTTTTTCTTTAAGAATGTTGAATATTGGCCCCCACTTCTTCTGGCTTGTAGGGTTTCTGCTGAGAGATCTGCTGTTAATATGACGGGCTTCCCTTTGTTGGTAATCCAACCTTTCTCTCTGGCTACCCTTAACATTTATTCCTTCATTTTAACCTTGGCGGATCTGACAATTATGTGTCTTGGGGTTGCTCTTCTCGAGGAGTATCTTTGTGATGTTCTCTGTATTTCCTGAATTTGAATGTTGGCTTGCCTTGCTAGGTTAGGGAAGTTCTCCTGGATAATATCCTGAAGAGTGTTTTCTAACTTGGTTCCATTCTCCCCGTCTCTTTCCAGTACACCAATCAAATGTATACTTGGTCTTTTCACATAGTCCCATATTTCTTAGAGGCTTTGTTAGTTTCTTTTCACTCTTTTTTTTTTTTTCTCTAATCTTGTCTTCTCACTTTATTTCATTAATTTGATCTTTAATCATTGATATCTTTTCTTCCACTTGATCGAATTGAAAGCTTGTGCATGCGTCATGAAGCTCTCGTGCCGTGGTTTTCAGCTCCACCAGATCATTTAAGGTCTTCTCTACACTGTTTATTCTAGTTAGCCATTTGTCTAACCTTTTTTCAAGGTTTTTAGCTTCCTTGCGATGGGTTAGAATGTGCTCCTTTAGCTCTGAGAAGTTTTGTTATTACCGACCTTCTGAAGTCTACTTCTGTCAACTTGTCAAACTCATTCTCCATCCAATTTTGTTCCCTTGCTGGTGAGGAGCTGCAATTCTTTGGAGGAGAAGAGGTGTTCTTTTTTTTTTTTTTTTGGAATTTTCAGCTTTTCTGCTCTGGTTTCTCCCCATCTTTGTGGTTTTGTCTACCTTTGGTCTTTGATGTTGGTGACCTATGGATGGGGGTTTTGGTGTGGATGTCCTTTTTGTTGATGTTGATGCTATTTCTTTCTGTTTGTTAATTCCTTCTAACAGTGAGACCCCTCAGCTGCAGGTCTGTTGTAGTTTGCTGTAGGTCCACTCCAGACTCTGTTTGCCTGAGTATCACCAGTGGAGGCTGCAGAACAGCAAATATTGCTGCCTGATCCTTCCTCTGGAAGCTTCATCCCAGAGAGGCACCTGCTTGTTTGAGGTGTCTGTTGGCCCCTACTGGGAGGTGTTTCCCAGTCAGGCTACATGGGGGTCAGGGACCTGCTTGAGGAGGCAGTCTGTCCATTCTCGGAGCTCGAACGCCATGCTGAGAGAACCACTGCTCTCTTCAGAGCTGTCAGACAGGGACATTTAAGTCTGCAGAAGCTGTCTGCTGCCTTTTGTTCTACTATGCCCTGTCCCCAGAGGTGGAATCTATAAAAGTAGTAGGCCTTGCTGAACTGTGGTGAGGTCCGCCCAGTTCGTGCTTCCTGGCCCCTTTGTTTACACTGTAAGCTATTCGAGCCTCAGTAATGGTGGATGACCCTCCCCTCATCAAGCTGCCGCGTTGCAGGTTAATCTCAGACTGCTGCGCTAGCAATGAGCAAGGCTCCATGGGCATGGGACCTACTGAGCCAGGCACAGAAGAATATCTCCTGGTCTGCTGCTTACTAAGACTGTGGGAAAAGTACAGTATTTGGTCAGGAGTGTACAGTTTCTCCAGGTACAGTCTGTCACAGCTTCCCTTGGCTAGGAAAGGTAAATCTCCCAACCCCTTGCACTTTCCACATGAGATGACACCCCACCCTGCTTCAGTTCACCCTCTGTGGGCTGCACCCAGTCTCCAACCAGTCCCAGTGAGATGAACCAGGTACCTCAGTTGGAAATGCAGAAATCGCTGCTCTTCTGCATTGATCTTGCTGGGAGCTGCAGACCAGAGCTGTTCCTGTTTGGCCATCTTGGAAACAAGCCTCCCTTTTCTGTTTTTGAGAAAATGCTGATGCGACAGAAAAAAGATGTAGTAACAGATTGACTATAGTAGTGGCAGGGATTTGGTGGGGTAGAGGGAGGATGGGAACAGATCTGAGTCAGGTATTATGGCTCCCTGTTGGAGATGCTGGATATGAAGTGCTTGTTATCCCACAAGGGGAAATGTCCTGATGACAGTTAATTTAGTTTAGAATGGGGGAGAGAAGTGTGAGTATCTACATTCTTTCATGATGAAAGCTCTCTGCAAATTAGACCTAGAAGAGATATACCTTAAAACAATAAAGGTCGTATATGACAAAGCCATAGCTAACATCATACTCAGTGGTAAAAAGTTGAAAGTTTTTCATCTAATATCAGGAACAAGATAAGGATGCCCATTTTCTTTCACCTCTTCTATTCAACATAGTATTGGAAGTCCTAGCCAGAGCAATTAGGCAAGAACAATGAATAAAAGGCATCCTAATGGGAAAGAGAGATGTTAAATTGTTCCTGTTGCAGGTGACATAATCTTATATGTAGATTACTTATAGAAGACCCTAAGGACTCCACCAAAATTTGTTAGAACCAATAGACAAATTCAGTGAAGTTGTGGGATATAAAATCAACATACAAAAATCATAGTATTTCTATACATTAATAACAAATTTTCCAAAAATGAAATCAAGAAAACAATCCCATGTACAATAGCTACAAAAAATAAAATACATAGGAGTAAGTTTAACCAAGGAGGTAAAAGATCTGTATACTGAGAGCTATGAAACATGATGAAGGGAATTGAGGAAGATGCAAATAAATGGAAAGAACATGGATTGGAAGAGTTAATATTATTAAAATGTCCATACTGTCCAAAATGATCCACAGATTCAATGCAATCCCTACCAAAATTCCAATGACATTTTTCACAGAAATAGTAAAATTCCTATGGAACCCCAAAAAGGCCCTGAATAGCCAAAGTAATATTGAATAAAAAAAAAAAACAAAGCTGGAGGCATCACACTACCTGACTTCAAATATATTGCAAAGCTATAATACTCAAAGCAACCTTTTTATATAAGCGGTAAATGAAACCACAGAAATGAACAAGATAAATCTATACAGGTGGGGGTGAATGTTAAAGGTAAGAAAGAGAATCAGCCTAGAATTGAGTGCCATGGAAACATTTAAGGGATGAAGGAAGGATCCAAATAAAGGGATTTAAAAATGTAGAAAGACAGGAGAGCCAGGAGGAAGTGGTATCTATCATTATTGCTGAAGAAGAGATGGTTTCAAGAAGGGGAATGTGGTCCACAGTAGGAAATACTTGAGAGTATTTTATTTATTTATTTTTTTGTTTTATTTATTTTAAAATTATTTTTATTATGTATTTGTTTTTGAGACAGGGTCTCTCTCTGTCACCCAGGCTGGAAAGCAGTGGTGCAATCTCAGCTAACTGTAGCCTTGAACTCCTGACTCAAGTGATCCTCTCGCCTCAGCCTCCCGAGTAGCTGGGACCACATGAGTATACCACCACACCTGGCTAATTTTGGTATTTTTTGTAGAGATGAGGTTTTGCCTTGTTACCCAGGCTGGTCTCGAACTCCTGAGCCCAAAGCAATCCCTCCACCTCGGCCTCCCTAAGTTTTGGGATTACAGGAGTGAGCCACCCCGCCTGGCTGCTTCAGAATATTTTTACTTGACATAAAACTGTCTTTTGGATTGGACAGTCAGGAGGTCATTAGTAATATTTGTAAGATTGGTTTGAGTGGAGGCTTTCCAACAGAAGCTAGTGTTGATGGCCTAATTAAGTTACGTTGGGTTGAAGAGTGAACATGAAGTGAGGAAGCATAACTAAAATAGCATCATGAGTACGGGGATTAATACCAAAGTTGAACTTAGACTGGACGTTTCAGTACATATGCTCAGATGAATATGACCTTTATACAATACTCTTCCACTTCATTATAAAAGTAATATATGTGCATAGTAATAAAGCTTTATAAAGAATGTAAGAACAGAAAACTCTTACAATTCAACATCCTGTTTATGTCTATTAAGTTTTTATTTTTATTTTTTTGAGACAGAGTCTCACTCTGTCGCCCAGGCTGGAGTGCAGTGGTGTGATCTCAGTTCACTGCAACCTTCGCCTCCTGGGTTCAAGAGATTCTCCTGCCTTAGCCTCCTGAGTAGCTGGGATTATAGGTGCCCACCACCACACCCAAGTAACTTTTGCATTTTCAGTAGAGACAGGGTTTCACCATGTTGGCCAGGCTGGTCCCAAACTCCTGACCTCAGGTGATCTGCCCACCTTGGCCTCCCAAAGTGTTGGGATTACAGGTGTGAGCCACCATGTCCGGCCATCTTTTACATTTTAGAATGCTCTTCTTTCAGTCTCTTCTTTTTTTCTTAAAAGGAGTCCATTAAGGTAGGAAAACTATTTTGAGTAAATGTATATTGCTTTAAGTAAACATTAAATATATGTCAAAAGAAAATACTACCTTTATATCAGGTTAACAGGTGTTTTATCTAAAGATTCAGATAGTAAATGTTTTAGACTTTGAAGGCCATATGTTCTTTGTCAAAACTAGTTAATCTCTCATCTTATAGCATGAAAAGAGCCATGACAATATGTGGGTGAATGGGTGTGGCTGTGTTTCAATAACAAAACTGTGTTTATTTACAAAACAGAGGGTGGGTCGGATTTTGGCTGGGAGTGTCAAGTTTACTGTGTTTTTATATGTTTCAAAAAGAATAATTTAAAAAATTTCCTCTTTTTTATATTCAGATATTTTTTAGCAGATAATTTTATGATTTATTTGTATGATCAAGGATCCATGAATGCTCGTTCTTCAGATATTCAGGTACGATTTAAATTCTGTGTTTTATAGTTTTTTTAAAAAATGTTTTTTTACATTAAATAAATGCTTTATTTTACAGAAGTCTCTCAGGATTCACAGGGGATATATTTAAGATATTTATTGATTAATGATCAGGCTTTTCCTGAAGTTTTGGTAAAAACAAATTAGATTGACTTAGCACCTTTCACATGGCTGAGAACATAGTCACTATTTTTTAAATTAATAGATATTTTGTTAAATAAAATATTTATTATTTATTTATTTATATTTTGTTTGTAAGAATATAAATTAACGAGAAATGTGGACACAAATGTTATGAGACACAAATCACAGATCAAAAACTCTTTCTTTTTTTCTTAACTCTTCCTCATCTCATCCATCATTTATACATCCATAAATCCTATTGACCCTGCCCTTCAAACTAAGTGTCCAGCATCCACCTTCTTCCTCTGCCTCCATCCACTGAGACCACCCATTTCCAAGTAAACGCCATCTCTAGTTTGGATTATTGCCATAACTTCCTGAATAATCTCCCTGCTTCCTCACCTTGCCCATCCCTTCATTTTATTTATTTATCCCTTTATTTTATTTATTTATTTTTGTATTTATTTATTTATTTTGCCCAGGCTAGAGTACAATGGTGCGATCTTGGCTCACTGAAACCTCCACCTCCTGGGTTCAAGCGATTCTCCTGCCTCGGCCGCCTGAGTATTTGGGATTATAGGCATGCACCACCACACCCAGCTAATTTTTATATTTTTAGAAGAGATAGGGTTTCACCATGTTGGCTAGGCTTGTCTCGAACTCCTGACCTCAGGTGATCTGCCTACCTCAACCTCCCAAAGTGCTAGGAATGCAGGTGTGAGCCACCGTGCCCGGCCTTAGTCAGTTCTCAATATGGTGACCATATTGATCCTGTTAAGACATAGTCAGATTACCCTGCTTCTCTGCTCAGAACCTTCCACGGATGGCCTCCCACCACTCACAGAGTGAAAGCCAGAGTCACCTGGTTCCCTTTTACCTCTCTGACCTCGTTTTCTGTTATTTTCTACCTCGTTCACTTTGTTCCAGCCTTGTTGTTCTTCAAATATAACAGCTATGTTCTCCTTTCAAAGACTTCATACTTTCTATTTCCCGGTATCCAAATGCTTGTTGTTTCCCAACAGACCCATATGTTTTTCGTCCTCATTTCCTTCAGGTCTTTACTCAGAATCACCCTATTAGTCCTTGACTAACCCCTACTTTAAATTGGTCTCTTACTCTTAATACCCCATTTCCTTTACCTTTTTTTTTTTTTTTTTTTGCCCTTTTCTCATGGCATGAGAATCATAAATACATGATTTATCATATATATTTTATTTATTTACTTTATTTTCTGTCTCTCCAGTGCAATATAATCATCCCGAGGGCAGGGCTTTTGGTCTGTTTTATTCACTGATGTAACACCAGTGCCTAGAAAAGTGCCTAGCACATACTTGGAATATAATAAAAATTTGTTGAAATATTAAACTAGATATTAAACTAGATATATTGCTTCACTTACATTGGATGGGATCATCATTTTGTTTTATTGCTCCCTTTTCCTTCCCTTAGTTCCATCTAAGCAGTGTGTTACTAAGAAATCTTAACTTTATTTATAATAAAATTTACAGCACCGTTGGGTATTGGAAATTATGTAATTTTCACATCTGTGACAATGTTCGTGACTCTGTGTATCTCTAACTTGATTGTACTGTGCTGAGAGACCAATTCTGTACAATTTAATTCCTTTGCAATCTGTTGAGTCCTGCTTTATGGCCTGGAGTATGGTTTCTATTTTGTAGATGTTCCATGAGTGTTTAGAAAGCATATATTCTAAAGTTTTTAGGTATAGTATTCTGCATGTATTAACTAGGTCATACTAACCACGTTGTTCCAACCTTTTGTAGATTCTGAACACTTGATCTATCAGTTACTAAGAGAAATTAACTTTAAAGAACTTTTTATAACTGCAGATTTAAAAATTTTTACTATTCTTTCAATTGTGACTTTATATATTTTGAAGCTGTGTTATTAAGTGAATGCCAATTTGGAATATTTGTGTCTTCCTGGCAAATTGAAATGATTATCATTACCAAATGTCTCTGTTTATCTCTAGTAATGTGTCTGGCCTTAAAGTCCACATTTCCTCTCTTAGTGCAAATTCAGAATCATCCTTTCGGTTTGTGTTGGCATCTAGCCCTTCAATCTTCCTGTGTCATTGTATTTTTATGACTCTTTTTTAGCACCATATTAATTAGGTTTTTAAAGAAATCCAGATTTACCATCTTTGTCTTTTAATTGAGGACCTAAATTTATATACTGGGAGATATTTTTACCTAAAGCATGAGACAACACTTTGGAAGCAGGGTGTAAAATAGTAATCTCAAGTCATAATCTATTATAAAGTGTAGTTAATATAGTGTAAGTGGCAATTATGGGGAGAATTTTTTTCTGAATGTCACTTTGCTTGTACTGATAAAAATCATGGAGCCTGTGAAAAATATTCAGAAGGTTCTATCAAGTATAGAAGTAGGAAGTCACTAGAAAGTTTTGTCACTTCCTAAGTAACTACTTTACTTTTTTCCTTCCTAGACTCAATGCTACTATCAAGGAAATATTGAAGGATATCCAGTTTCCATGGTCACACTCAGCACGTGCTCTGGACTGAGGTTGTTTTCTATTGTTGATTACAAAACACCGTAGTTATGATATTTGGCTGCAATGAATTTGTTCTCTTTGTATTAAGTGTGGGGCTGAAGGAGGATTCCTATGTGGACATTATTTAATGATATCCCCCTCTGAACATGTTTCCTATTCTCTTATTTCTCCTCACTTTCCTCACCGATCAGAAACATTTCTAACCTTTCCAGTGGTTTAGATTTCCTAGTCTCCTTTGCTCTATGTCTTATGTTTCCTTGACTACAGAAAAGACCATTGAACGTGTTTGATTACAAGTGTTGGAGAAGCTAGGTTTAGGACAGCTCAGTCACTGTGTTGGAAAACAGGGAAATTAATCACTGTAATGCTGTATGCTTGCACACTTAGCAGTTGTGTAGGTAATTTCTGTTGCTTTTGTAACTACAAAGAAGTGAAATGGAGAGTTGGTTTTGCAGATTAGGGTAATCTTTTGTCTTCTCAGAGTCATCTCTAAGACAGGTTTGGGTCAAAATACTGGACTGAAAATGTATTTATGTTACCCACCATGTATTTTAGTGTTGGAGATATAAAGATAAACGAGATGCTTTTTCTCAAGGAAATCATCTTCCGACTGAGGAGGCAAATTATATATAAACAATTTTTAATACTCATAAAAATACTCATTTTTCTAATTACATTAATTATCTTGAGCTATTCAAGAATTATTGGGTTTCCTCCTTAGGGCTTAGGGAGTTTTCCATTCTGTCAGGAAATTTTCCACCTTCATTTTGTAGTGTAGGATGCTTGTTTTCACAACTGTTCTTCAGTGCTTTCTACACAGAACCCTGAAATTTGGCTCTGAAATTTGTTTTTTAGGGAGTAGTGACTTGGGCTGTTACCTGTATTCAGAGAAAAATAGTGATACAAGTCATTTACTCTTTAAAAATCTTGCTTTTAAATGTACAAGAACAGAAATTATAGCAAACTGTCTCTCAGACCACAGTGCAATCAAACTAGAACTCAGGACTAAGAAACTCAATCAAAACCGCTCAACTACGTGGAAACTGAACAACCTGCTCCTGAATGACTACTGGGTACATAACGAAATGAAGGCAGAAATAAAGATGTTCTTTGAAACCAATGAGAACAAAGATACAACATACCAGAATCTCTGGGACACATTTAAAGCAGTGTGTAGAGGGAAATTTATAGCACTAAATGCCCACAAGAGAAAGCAGGAAAGATCTAAAATTGATACCCGTGAATCTCTGGGACACATTTAAAGCAGTGTAGAGGGAAATTTATAGCACCAACACCATATGAGAAAGCAGGAAAGATCTAAAATTGACACTTAACATCGTAATTGAAAGAATTAGAGAAGCAAGAGCAAACATATTCGAAGTTTAAAAGCAGAAGGCAAGAAATAACTAAGATCAGAGCAGAAACTGAAGGTGATAGAGACACAAAAAATCTCCAAAAATCAATGAATCCAGAGTTGGTTTTTTGAAAAGATCAACACAGCTGATATATTCTGGCTAGCAAGACTAACAACAAAGAAGAAAAGAGAGAAGAATCAAACCGACGCAATTAAAAATGATAAAGGGGATATCACCACCGACCCCACAGAAATACAAACTACCATCAGAATACTATAAACACCCTATGCAACAACTGAAAATCTAGAAGAAATGGATAATTTCCTGATGACTTACACTCTTCCAAGACTAAACCAGGAAGAAGAACTCTGAATAGACCAATAGCAGGCTCTGAAATCTGAGGCAATAATTAATGAAATACCAACCAAAAAAAAGTCCAGGACCAGACGGATTCACAGCTGAATTCTACCAGAGGTACAAGGAGGAGTTGAAATATTCCTTCTGAAAGTATTCCAATCAATAGAAAAAGAGAGGGAATCCTCCCTAACTCATTTTATGAGGCCAACATCATCCTGATACCAAAGCCTGGCAGACACAACAAAAAAAGAGAATTTTAGACCAACACAACATCGATGCAAAAATCCCCAATAAAATACTGGCAAACCGGATTCATGCAACACATCAAAAAATCATCCACCATGATCAAGTGGGCTTCATCCCTGGGATGGGCACAATTAACATTCGCAAATCAATAAACATAATCCAGCAACAGAACCAAAGACAAGAACCACATGATTTATTCAGCATAGATGGAAAATTTTTGACAAAATTCAACAGCCCTTCATGCTAAAAACGCTCAATAAATTCGGCATTGATGGAACGTACCTCAAAATCATAAGAGCTATTTATGATAAACCCACAGCCAATATCATACTGAATGGGCAAAACTGGAAAATTTCTTGAAAATTGGCATTAAGACAGAGTGCCCTCTGTCACCACTCCTATTCAACATAGTGTTGGAAGCCTGCCAGGGGTAATTAGGCAAGAGAAAGAAATCAAGGGGATTCAGTTAGGAAAAAGAAGAAGTCAATTGTCCCTGTTTGCAGATGAGAGACATGATTGTATATATTTAGAAACCCCATTGTCTCAGCCCAAAATCTCCTTAAGCTGATAAGCAACTTCAGCAAAGTCTCAGGATACAAAATTAATGTGCAAAAATCACAAGTATCTTATACACCAGCAATAGACAAGCAGAGAGCCAAATCAGGAATGAACTTCCATTCACAATTGCTTCAAAGAGAATAAAATATCTAGGAACCAACTTACTAGGGATGTAAAGGACCTCTTCAAGGAGAACTACAAACCACTGCCTGTAGTGAACAAAAGAGGACACAAACAAATGGAAGAACATACCATGCTCATGGATAGGATGAATCAATATCGTGAAAATGGCCATACTGCCCAAGGTAATTTATAGATTCAATGCCATCCCCATCAAGTTACCAATGAGTTTCTTCACAGAATTGGAAAAAACTGCTTTAAAGTTCATATGGAACCAAAAAAGAGCCCGCATCTCCAAGACAACCCTAAGTCAAAAGAACAAAGCTGGAGGCATCACGCTACCTGACTTCAAACTATACTACAAGGCTACAGTAACTAAAACAGCATGGTACTGGTACCAAAACAGAGATATGGACCAATGAACAGAACAGAGTCCTCAGAAATAATACCACACATCTACAGCCATCTGATCTTTGACAAACCTGAGAGAAATAAGAAATGGGAAAAGGATTCCCTATTTAACAACAGGTTGGGAAATCAAGGCCGTAAGTAGAAAGCTGAAACTGGATCCTTTCCTTACTCCTATACGAAAATTAATTCAAGATGGATTAGAGACTTAAATGTTAGACCTAATACCATAAAAAATCCTAGAGGAAAACCTAGGTGTACCATTCAGGACATAGGCATGGGCAAAGACTTCCCATGTCTAAAATACTCCAAAAAAGCAACAGCAGCAAAAGCCAAAATTATGAAAGTGGGATCTCACTAAACTAAAGAGCTTCGTAAGAAAGTGTAAAGTTAGAAACCTACCATCATGAGTGTAAATGCAGGCAACCTACAGAATGGAGAAAATTTTTGTGTGTTCACTTCATCTGACAAAGGCTTAAGTATCCTTAGAACTCTAAGTAAAGAACTCAAACAAATTTACAAGAAAAACAAACAACCCCATCAAAAAGTGGGCAAAGGATATGAACAGACATTTCTCAAAAGGAAGAGCATTCATACAGCCAACAGACATGCCATGAAGAAATGCTCATCATCACACATCAGAGAATGCAAATCAAAAACCACAATGATACCATCTCACACCAGTCAGAATGGCGATCATTAAAAAGTCAGGAAACAACAGGTGCTGAGAGGAGTGGAGAAATAGGAATACTTTACAGTGTTGGTGGGATTGTAAATCAGTTCTAACCATTAAGGGAAAATAGCATGGCGATTCCTCAAGGATCTAGAATCAGATGTACCATATGATATCCAGCCATCCCATTACTGGGTATATACCCAAAGGATTATAAATTATGCTGCTATAAAGACATGCACACGTATGTTTGAAAAGTGCACTATTCACAAATAGCAAAGACTTGAATCAACCCAAATGTCCACTTGGGTGACAGATTGATTATGAAAATGTGGCACATATACACCATGGAATACTATGCAGCCATAAAAGGATGAGTTTGTGTCCCTTTGTAGGGACAAGGATGCAGCTGGAAACCATCATTCTTAGCAAAACTTAACAAGCAAGAACAGAAAACTAAACACCGATGTTCTCAAATTTCCAGGTGGTAACTGAACAACAGGAGATCACTTGACTCGAAGGGGAACATCACACACCGGCCTATCATGGGGAGGGGGTAAGAGGGAGGGATTGCATTGGGAGTTATACCTGATGTAAATGACGAGTTGATGGGTGCAGCACACCAACATGGCACAAGTATACATATGTAACAAACCTGCACGTTATGCACATGTACCCTACAACTTAAAGTATAATAATAATAAATAAATTTAAAAAAAAAAAGAAAATATGAAGATGAAACTCAAAAAAAAAATCTTGCTTTTAATTTCTTATTCAACAGTATATAAGCAAAAGTAGTAAATATTTCATAATTCTGCCAAATTTTATTTTTAAAAGTAAAGTTTCTCACTGTATATATTTGTCATATATGCAGTATAATCATTTTTCAAAAGCATGGCAAACCAGAGAGAGAGTCATCAGGATTTCTGTTTACAATTGTTTTAATTGAGATACTGACTTGGAAAACAATATAATTATTCAATTACTGTTATGCTATGTACTGTGTAACTAGCAATTGATTAAGTAACTTCTGCTGCTCTTACAACTATACAGAAATGAAATAGAAAATGGGTTTTGTGGATTAGGGAAATCTTTTGTCTCTTCAGAGTCATTTCTAAGATGGAATTCAGATAAAAATACTGGACTCAAAATGTTTTACTTTTTTTCTTTTGGATTTTGTCAGAAATCCATTATGTAGATTTGATTAAAAGCACTTAAAATTGTATTTATAATTTCACAGAGGAATACTGCAATTTGAAAATGTTTCTTACGCAATTGAGCCTCTGGAATCTGCAGTTGAATTTCAGCATGTTCTTTACAAATTAGAGAATGAAGACAATGATATTGCAATTTTTAGTGAAAATAACAGAAGCCTGAAAGAACACCCAATGGATGACAACATTTCTAGAAGTGAACAAGTGAGTTGTATATGTTTTGTTACTACTTTTAAAGCAGTTATTACTTCCATTTATTTTAAAAATAAATTTATGAGCCCACTGTACAATTGTAGTAAATATCCTTTCCTTGTGAACATCTTATCTTTTTTTTTTTTTTTTTTTTTTTCCTCACTCTGTCACTCAGGTTGGAGTGCAGTGGACAGATCATGGCTTGCTGCAACCTCTGCCTTCCGGGCTCAAGCAATCCTCCCACCTCGTTCTCCTGAGTAGCTGCGACCACAGACATGCACCACCACACCAGACTAATTTTTTATAGAGACAGAGTCTCACCATGTTACCATGCTGGTCTCAAACTCCTAGGTTCAAATGATCCATCCACCTCAATGTCCCAAAATGTTGAGATTACAGGTGTGAGCCACCGTGCCTGGCTGTTCATCTTTCTGTTACCTAACAATTTCCTTGAAACCGTACATCACCTTTTTCTCATTGCACCAATCTACCATTTACTTTTTATGATCCACTTTATTTTAGTTCTTATTTTGTTTGTTATATTCTTATTACTTTCCAAAAATTCCCTCTTGTATATGCAATATAAACTTTAAAAACTCAGTCCCTGCTTTTGCTTCTACATTTCTGGAAGTTACTCAATCAAGTCAATAATTTTAAAGGTTATATTCATGACCAATGAGTCAGCATTAATTAAATCATGGATATAATTAAAATGTCATAAGCAGAATTGCTGATTATGGTCATGTAAATTGTTCAGTGAACACACTATGTAACTGCATGTGTTGGTGCTTACAAAAGCAATTGTGAAAGAGAAAATTTTTATGCCAAGTAACATTGGCATCAGTATGCATAGTTTATACAAGAGTATGTGGCAGTATTCATTGTTTCCAGTATATACTGTCCCGTTTTCTGTCAGTAAAGAAAAAAACACCAGGCCAGGCGTAGTGGCTCATGCCTGTAATCCTAGCACTTTGGGAACCCAAGGTGGGCTGATCACCTGAGGTCAGGAGTTCAAGACCAGCCTTGCCAACATGGTGAAACCCCGTCTCCAGTAAAAATACAAAACTTAGTCAGGTGTGGTGGCAGACGCCTGTAATCCCAACTACTCGGGAGGCTGAGGCCGAAGAATTTCTTGGGAGATGGAGGTTGCAGTGAGCCGAGATCACACCACTGCACTCCAGCCTGGGTGAGGGCAAGACTCCATCTCAAAAAAACAAAAAACAAACAACAACAACAACAAACACCAAACCTCAGAATTTAGCTGGGCATATAAACGAAGACTGTATTTCTCAAACTTCCTTGCCTCTTAGGTAGGGCAGTATGACAAAATTATGGCCAGTGACATGCGAGCAAGCATAATATGTGTTACTTCTGGCTTGAATATTAAAAGGAGGGGTTTTATCTTCTTTCTCTTTTCTACTGGCTGGAGTGTGGACATATTGACATATTATGGTCCACAAGGATGAGGCTGATGCCATACAGGTAGCAGAGAAACAAGGTGATATGAGCCTTGCTTTTGAAGAATTTTCAGAATGGAACTACCATACCTCTTCACAAATTTATGTGAGAGAGAAATAGACTCTAAGTTTGTTTAATTCACTATTATTTTCTGTCTCTGTGTGGATGGCAATCCTAAATCTTAAATAATACAGGGTCCAAATGAGAGTGCAGCGCCAGAGTTTTCAGTGCTAGCAAATACATGGATATAATTTCAAATAATGTTTGTGAACTAGATGCTGAACTTTTTTTTCTTGCCTTGTAAAAATTTCCAATTTGCAATGACTGAGATGACCCAGCGTAGTGAACAATGTCAGTGCCCTGCCCAGATCCCCTCACATTCCTCTCTAGTATATTTTTGTGGGTGTGGTACAGGAGGGTGGGACACCCTGTCTTTGTTTATGCCTTTGCTTTGAACATATGCCACTTGTAACTCTTTTTTATGTGGGCTGCCCTTCAGCCAACTGAAACTGCTTTGCCCAGATGGCAAGGTAAACATAACTGCTAGAGATTTACATTTCCCCAGGGTGGTCCTTAGCCAGCACCTCACCAGTGTGGGTAAGGGTGAACTCAGTTTCTTGTTACAGGTCAGGACCACTCTGTAGCACAACTTACACACCAGATTTTCTCTGTGGGACTGTGTCTGAGAGCACACTCTTTGTGTGGATTCCTCCTGATCCTAATACTGCTTCTCCCACTCATTAACTGGTCTCTCCTGGGAGAACTTTCTTAGTAAATTATCTACATATAAATCCTGTCTCAGATTTATCTTTGGGTTTCCTTTGAACAACAGGAAGTTTTCACATATTTATTTTACAGTGAAGTGATAATTACTACAATAAAGTAATTTGAGCACATATGTCAGCCAAATTGCATTTGTATCATTTGGAAAGTGGCATGATCTGGAAAGCGGGGAAGCTTTGGATTCCCACAGATATCATCGTTTGTCTGGACAAGTGTTGAAGGAAAGAAAAACAGCCAAATGAAAGACAGACAGAAAGTTCCTCATATATATGTATATGTATGTGTATGTGTGTGTGTGTGTGTGTGTATATATATACACACATATAATTATACTTTAAGTTCTTGGGTACACGTGCAGAATGTGCAGGTTTGTTACATAGGTATACACGTGCCATGGTGGTTTGCTGCACCCATCAACCCGTCATCTACATTAGGTGTTTCTCCTAATGCTATCCCTTCCCTACCCCCGACCCCCTTGACAGGCCCCAGTATGTGATATTCTCCTACCTGTGTCTGTGTATTCTCATTGTTCATCTCCCACTTGTGAGTGAGAACATGTGGTCTTTGGTTTTCTGTTCTTGTGTTTGCTCAGGATGATGGTTTCCAGCTTTATCAATGTCCTTGCAAAGGACATGAACTCATCCTTTTTTATGGCTGCATAATATTCCATGGTGTATATGTGCCACATTTTCTTTATCCAGTCTATCATTGATGGACATTTGGGTTGGTTCCAAGTCTTTGCTATTGTGAACAGTGCTGCAATAAACATATGTGTGCATGTGTCTTTACAGTACAATGATTTGTAATCCTTTGGGTATATGCTTAGTAATGGGATTGCTGGGTCAAATGGTATTTTTGGTTCTAGATCCTTGAGGAATTGCCACACTGTCTTCCACAATGGTTGAACTAGTTTACAGTCCCACCAACAGTGTAAAAGTGTTCCTATTTCTCCACATCCTCTCCAGCACCTGTTGTTTCCTGACTTT